ACTTCATTAAAAATTGTAAAGAAGCTGTTTGGCAGAAATTCAAATTCATCCAGGCTCAACACTTCTTGAAATCACAATATGTGCTCAAGGTTGTACTGGGTACTCCCAATTGTATCCTTCTTATTTGCTCCCACCACTACAAGTTAGCCAGTCATGGGAGAATGTGAGGCCTTGCTCTGACCACTCAGTAAGCCACAGGTCACCTTTGCATTAGGAAGAAGAGCTCAGCAGGAGTCTGTTGGGTATATTTGCTGCCTTATTTGACATGACAATGAGCTCTCCTGCCAAAGTGAAACTTGGCCTTGCCAAAATTCTTTGGCTGGTGTGGTCATTTCCTTGGGACCACAGACCCATTCTATCAAATATTTTATAAGTTTCCTTTGCAGTAAATTTGCTTTGTGACTTTTATCTAGGTTTTTTTGGAGTTTATTTCCCCTTTAAAATTATCTTTGGCTCTTGCTTTGGTGTGTTTGTATTAATATTTTACTATGCCATAGTAAAAAAAAGTGCCACCTCTTCCTGTCTTCTTAGATTGGACTCAAACAGAATACTTTCATCAATCATCCAGGACAAAACTTTTGTGGAACTCTGAAACCTTTAGTCCATTATATCACATTGGTGTTCGGTGGTCTTTGGATATCTAGAGTATGCCTGGTCCTGTCAGCACTCTGAAACAAGTAGGTCAGAAGTCACTCAACTAGCACCCGAGGAAGTTGGAGCAATGAGTGTACTCTTTCCTTCCTTAAGGAGAAGCAGGGAGCTAGCATATAACACTTACTCACTCTATCCTGTGCCATGGGGAGGAGCTATGGTAGATGCCACATTATACTTCAGGCTGTTGCTTGTTCTTTATCCCCCAATGAACTCTAATGCAAGGTCTTGTCATCAATCTGAGATAGATGAGATACACACTACCCTCTTGTTTGGTGTTAACTGTGTAGTTTATTTTCTTTGATCCTCCAGAAGAGTCTAAGAACTGGGATGTACCTCCTGGTCATATGATGCAATGGCAGGAGTGGGAATTTCAACTAGGAACTCTGTATTTGCTCTTTTTTTTTTTTTTTTTTTGTTTCGAGACAGGGTTTCTCTGTGTAGCTTTGGTGCCTGTTCTGGATCTCTCTCTCTAGCCCAGACTGGCCTCAGATTCAGAGATCCACCTGCCTCTGCCTCCCAAGTGCTGGAATTAAAGGCGTGCACCACCACTGCCTGGCAATCTGCTCCACTTTTAATGTTGTTGCTTTTGTATTCTCTAAGGGTACAGGAGCTTCAGGTCCTCTCTAGTTTTCTTACAAAGGAAAGTGATCCATGTGCTGCTGTTGAAGCAATGTGTTCAGGGAGTAAAGATAGTCCAGTATTATTCTGTCCTGCTATCTTAATGTTACATATACTTAAACTCTCACAAATATTCTTGACCTTCGCTCTGTCATCTACATTACATGAAAACAGTTTCAGCTATTCTGTTCCCATTTTATTACTTGTTAGGTGAGAACAGAGGCCAAATTTAGTGTAGAGATAATTATTCTCCACTACTGAGATTAGACCCTCCTGAGAACTTTACTATTATCCTATGAATTCCATGGCTTTCTAGTGCAAGTGCTTAGAATAGGAACTATTTGTAAGTGTATGCAGAATATTCTTCCACTGTGTTCTTAATCATTTGATTCTTTCTTCTGTTTGGGGTCCTTCCCTTGCACTCAAACATCCATCCACCATCAACAACCTATTTGATTGGATGTCTCTTCTCTCTACTGCCCTACTCTCTTTTATTTTTTCCTTTCCTCCACTGGGGCTTGAAAACTCATGGAAGTAGTCTGAGGCAATTATAGGGCTAACTTTGTTTGCTTTATGGTTCTTGGGTATCATTGTCCTTTTACTGCATGGACTTAGAGGAATTGAACTGGATCTGACCACAAAGCATCCTCCCTGAACACTAGCTCTTATAGTATCAGAAGGTGCTATGCAAGCTGCCAGGGGCGAAAAGCAATAGTCATAACCAGCGCTGATGCCCATAAAGTACAACAGTGACTAATGTGGTAAGATGTTGCCAAGGGTACAGTAGTGGTACTTATATCTTGGAGGTAAACAGCAGCTATCTAATTGGATTTAAGGCCTGTTAAATAAGAAGGAATTCATGGCTGGTACTGTAAACCTATATAACTACCCAGGGTTGGTGGACACTTGAGGTGAACCTACTATTGCCACTTTCCTAAACTAGTATAATTTCTAGCTGAATTATAACTATTTACCCTTATACTCACAAGATGAAGCATCTTTGATGAGGGATGAGAGCTATACTTATCTGTGAGTATAAAGATAAGTATTTAGAATGCAATTAAAAATTATACTGTATTAAGATATTTTCTGTTTCCCATGAGCTCCCAACAATATGGTCACTTACACAAGACACACACACACACACACACACACACACACACACACACACACACACACACACACACACACACACAGAGGGGGGGGGCTATGAGAAGAGGTCATAAATTCCAGAAAAGGCGGTTGGGAGAATATAGGAAGATTTGGTGGGGAAAAGGGGATGGAAAGATGCAAATGCAGTGTACTCACATATGAAATACTCAAATAATTTTTTAAACAAATAACCACATTGATATGCAGAAATGTTATTTTTGTACCTAACTCTCATTGAATTTCTCAAAATGAACATCAGCTAACAAAACATTTGATCCTTTGCCTGGCATAAATATAACAAGGAGTTGGGAAGATGGATTGGTGTGTTAAGTGCTCGCCACAAAATCATGAGGATCTGCGTTCATCCCTAACACCCATGTAAAAAGTCAAACATGGTGGCACTCATTTGTAACCCTGGTGCTTGGGATGCCAAGATAGGTGGATCCCTGAGGCTTGCTGGCTATCCAGTCTATATGAATAGGTAAACCTTAGGTCTCAGGGAGAGATTCTGCTTCAAATAATAAGGTGGACAGTTCATGAGGAGCAACACCCGTAGACCTCTGACCTCCATATACACATGCACACATGTGCACATGTACACACACATGTACTCGCCATGGATAAAAATTGTGTGGTCAAAAATCTCCAGATTGTCATGACAGATTTTTTAAAAATATTTGTTTTATTATTTTACATTAATTTTTTATTCTTTTCTCATATATTATATCCCAACCTCAGTTTCTCCTCTCTCCACTCCTCCCAGCCCCTCTCCCTACCTCCCTTTTCTCCCAGATCCACTCCTCCTCCATTTCCCTTCAGAAAAGGACAGGCATCCTAGGGATATCAACCAAACATGGTACATCATGTTGCAATAAGACTAGGCACAAACCCTCATATTAAGGCTGGATGAGGCAAACCAGTAGGAGGAAAAGGGTCCCAAGAGCAGGCAGAAGAGGATATCTCTACATCCTCTGCTCCCACTGTTAGGAATCCCAGAAAAACACCAAGCTACACAACCATAACATATATGCAGAGGACATAGATCAGCCCCATGCAGGCTCCCTGATTGTCACTTCAGTCTCTGTGAGCCCCTATGAGCCCTGGTTAGTTGATTCTGTCGGCCATTTTCTTGTGGTGTTCTCGACCCCTGTGGCTCCTACAATCCTTCTTCCCCATCTTCTGCAGAATTCCTGAAGCTCCACCTAATGTTTGGCTGTGGGTCTCTGCATCTGATCCCATCAGTTGCTGGATAAAGCCTCTCTGATGACAATTATGTCATGATAGATTTTATATATAAAAGTTAATATAAAATGTGACAAAAGTAAAGAAAAACATTAGTTGCATGTAATTAAAACATGCATTTATAGGGGCTGTAGAAATGGCTTAATGACTAAGAATGTGTACTGACCTTCCAGAGGACCTAAGTTCAATACTCAGGACCCACATCAAGCAGCTCACAACCTCCTATAAATCCAGCCCCATGGGGATCTGTGGCCCCTAGCATTCATAAGCACCTGCATACCTATATACATATCCACACACCAACACAGAGAGAGACACACATAATTAAAAAGCCCAGTACTCTGAAGGCAGAGGCAGGCAGATCTCTAAGTTTGAGGCCAGCCTGGTCCACATAGTAAGCTATAGGGCTCCCAGAGCTACATAAAGAGACCCTGCTGGGGGATATCTTTCTGTACTCTGTGAATATATGTTTTTTCCATTGGTTAATAAATAAGCTGCTTTGGCCTATGGCAGGCTTCTTGCTAGCTAGCTCTTTCATTTTAAATTAATGCATTTCTATTAATCTATTTTTTGCCACCTGGCCGTGGCATTACTGGTCTGCTAGCCTCTTGCTTATCCTTAGGTGGCAGCTGGCATCTTCCCAGACTCTGCCCTTCTCTTTACTGTCTCTCTCCTTGGATTTCCCACCTGCCTCTAAGCTGCCTTGCCATAGGCCAAAGCAGCATATTTATTAATCAATGGGAACAACATATATTCACAGCATACAGAAAGACATCCCCCAGCAACACCCTGTCTCTAAAAATAATAATAATACAAATAAATCTTTTCTGTTTTGAGTCCCCATTGGAATCCATACCTTACCAGTATTCAGCCCTAATTCTCAAAGTGTTAGCTCCCATTATTAATATTGGAAACACATGCCTGGCCTGGGAAAACTCTTACATCCCCTCTGGAAACCAGTAAATATGTATCATGTAAAATAATGTGTCAAAAATTAAAACAAAACAAAAGAGAAATAAAAATAGAAAAAAAACCCTTGGAGGTCTGGTGTTATCTCCTGTGGTGGTTTGAATGAAAATGGCCCCCATAAGCTCATAGGAAGTGGTACTATTAGGAGATGTGACCTTGTTGGAATAGATGTGGCCTTGTTGGAGGAAGTATGTCACTGGGGATGAGCTTTGAGATTCCATATGCTCAAGATAGGACCAATCTCTAATCTCTCTCTCTCTCTCTCTCTCTCTCTCTCTCTCTCTCTCTCTCTCTCTCTCTCTTTCTCTCTCTCCCTCCCTCCCTCCCTCCCTCCCTCCCTCCCTCCCTCCTGCCTGTGGATCAAGATGTGTAACACTCAGCTACCTCTCCAGCACCATGTCTGCCTGCATGCTGCCATGTCCTTCCACGATGACATGGATTTCCCTGGGAAGGGGAAATAGAAGAGATCTCCTGGGTAAACTGGGGGTGGGGGAGGGGAGATGGAGGGATGGGAACTTGAGGGAGCAGGTTGGGTGGACTGGGTGTGGGGGGTGGGTTGGAGACCAGACAGAGGGAGAGAATAAGAGACATCTTGATAGGGGGCCATTTCAGGGTAGGGAGAAACCTGGTACCAGGGAAATCCCCAGGAATCCACAAGGATGACTCCAGCTAAGACTCCTAGCAATAGTGGAGAGGGTGCCTGAACTGGCCTTCTCCTGTAATCAGATTGATGACTACCCTAATTGTCATCATAGAGCCTTCATCCAGCAACTGATGGAAGCAGATGCAGAGATGCACAGCCAAGCACTGGACTGAGCTCTGGAAGTCCTGCTGAAGAAAGGGAAGAGGGATTGTATGAGCCAGGGGGGTCATGACAGGCAATCTACAGAGACAGCTGACCTGAGCTTGTGAGTGCTCATGGTCTCTGGACCAACAGTTAGGGAGCTTCCGTGGTACCAGACTAGGCCCTCTGCATGTGTGTGACAGTTGTGTAGTTCAGTCTGTTTGAAAGGCTCCTAGCAGTGAGATCAGGACCTGTCCCTGGTGCTTTGCTGGCTTTGGGGGATCTGTTCTCCGTGTTGGATTACCTATTCCAGCCTTGATGCAGGGGGAAGAGCTTGGTCCTGCCTCAACTTGATGTGCCATGCTTTGTTCAAGCCCATGGGAGGCCTGCCCCTTTCTGAATGGAGACAGAAGAGGAGTAGAAGGGGAGGGGTGTAGATGGGAAGTTGGGGGGGGACTTGGAGGAGAGGAGGGAGGGGAAACTCTGGTCAGTATGTAAAACATATGAAAAATGTTATTTAAATAAAAATAAAATAAAAAATACAAAAGAGCAGAAAAAAAAGAAAAAAATGAATAAATTATTTTAAAAAGGAAAAAATCAAAAGGGGTGCAGATATCCCCCAAAGGTCAGTGGGACCAGAAAGTTTTATAGGTGCCACCATTTTGTTTTATGTCATGTGGTTACATTAACCAAGATGGCGGTGAAGCCACATGGTATTTCCTCTCTTTGATATCATCAGCAAAGATGGCAGCCAAGTCACATGATTGCTGTCAACTTAATGAGGTCACCAGCCAACATGATGGCAAATCACATTGTTGCTTTCTTCTAATAGTGAGCTCAGTTCCTTGGTAAAGCTTTCCTATCCCCCATCAAGGCACAAGTCCCTGTGGAGTCCACACATCTCACAGATTAAATGGGGACTGTTTCATCCCTTTTCTTAAAAAGACATTTTAGTTAGGTTAGTATGGCTATATGGGGAGATGGTACCTGTGGCCTATGCAGGGAGGCCCAAAGCGTCAAAATTAAGAAACAGGAAGAAATTTCATGTTCTCAGCTCAGAGAAGTAGAATGCATATTTATCTGTTAAGATAGCTTGAATCAGTATGAGGGCTCTCAGACAGAGAAAAAGAGAAGAAATTTAACCATTATCCAGTTTTTAAGTCAAAACAAAAGTGAACCTCCTCCCTTCCCCCTCCCTCCCCCCAGGGGGGGGTTGCCGAAGGGACAAGGGAGGATGGGAGATACAGGCACTTTGAAAAACCCGAAGGTTTGTCTGTCTCCAGGAAAAGCGGAACTTTCAAAACCTTCCTAAGGGGTGTCTTTCCTTCTAGCGCCACGGATCAGGTTTCACCCTGACCACTGTGAAGTAACACCACTATGGAGCTAGACTTAACTTAGTACTGAAGTTTTAGTTTCTGTTTAGAGGTCTCTAGTCACCAAACAGATTAATTTGCCTCCTAGTATACACAGACATTAGGTTAGAAGGAGACGCATCTAAGGGGACTGTCCTTATTAGAGACAAGCAAATAAAATTACCAGCCCCAGGATTGGAGAAGGGTGTTGGCAGCTCAACAGTTACACCTTCCTGTCCTGCCTATGAGAAAATTACTTTAAATGGCTTATCATAGAAAGTTTCCAGGCACTCAGTCCTTATGCAGGAGTCTGATGTAACAAACAGCCGATTGCACACTTTGATCTGCCAAACACAACTTATATCAGTCTAGATACAGAAAAGACCTCATTTTTCCAGGGATCTGATAAAGGTTCTGGTACCTGTATCCAGCCAGCTGCACAATTATGCTTCCCTTACTAAGCAGGACTTATGCTAATCTCAATGTCGAAGAATTTTCCTCACAAACTTGGTAATGCTCTCTATGAAGTTGTAGTCAAGGAGATCTGGTGGCTGATTTCTGAACTTGACACTGGCCTGTGAAAAGCATCTCAGGCCCTTAATCCAAACTAATGGCTTTCTCTAGAGTGCACGTCTTGTAGTGGACAGCTGTAGCAAAGAAATCATCCATCCTGCTTATGCGTATGACAAAGGCTGCCAAAAATTCTTTGGATGTTTTTGTTTGTTTGCTTTTGTTTTCCTAACTGTCCTCTCCTTCTAATAAGGGCAAAACTGCCCCAACTATTTTCTTAATTATGCTCTCAATAGGAACTATGGCAGTACTAACAGTCTTACTTCTCGCCTGTTACAGATGCTACCTCACTCACATGACATGCTCCAAGGATGCATGCTGTCATCACAGAGATGGATATCTTATGTTCTGCATCTTTGCCATCTGTTAAATTTTATCATGGCCCCGTAGATTTACCCTCCTCTGAGGCACTCTAACAGCTACACCATTTACATCGCCATTTTTGCTAGCTTTAAAGCAGTTAGAGTGGTCTGTGCTCGAAACCCCTGTGAGAGGGAGGAATGAGGAATTAGAAGTTAAACAGATTCCCTGCTAGGCAGACAGGTAGGTAATAAAGAATGGTAAATTTTCAAGGTGCCTGGCTTCTTTTTCCCCCTCCTGACCTTAGACAAATGCCTGGCAGCTTAAAACAATGGCCTTGTGGGTTTTTTCTTCTGCTGATAGACTAGCCTAACAAATTCAAGGCCTGGTCAAGACATGTTTACAAAACATGTTTTTGCCAATTAGCCACCCTGTCTTTTTTCAAAATGACCAGCCTTAAATTAGGGGAAGAAGACCCTTCAAAGACTAAAAATCCCCAGCCCTCAGGAGACAGTCTTTTCTTTCTGTGTACTTGTAGTATATGTGTATTTTTTTGCTCCTAATAAAAGCCTTTCTCTACTAGTAAATAATAACAACAACATTATATCTATTTAAATGTGCCAATATAATTAGATTCCAATAATTCAATATTGTAAGTTAGAAGAAACATACTCATATTTAACTGTAAAGACTGATAACATAACTTTCTATACCAAGCTGTTACCTAGTGTCTATATTTACAAACCTTTTCCCCTCTTTTTTTCATAATGAGTCTGAATAGGCACCAAAGATCAATTACAGAGACATCACTAGAGATCAGTTGTTCATTTCAGCCTTTCGTTAGGTCCAGTGGACCGGGCATATTCATCTTGTCTGAGAGCCATAAAAACAATAGAAAAATGTGAAAAACCTCAATTAATGTTGTCTCTACGAAATTCAATGGTTTCTCGTGCCCTATAAATTATCTCAGAAAAAAGCTCAACAATTTTCAGACTCTAGGCTCTTATGGCAGCTTTCCTCTTCACACTTCACTATCCGTTGTTGCAATATTCATTCACTTTATTACCTGAAAAAGAAATAATACTCTGTTTTCTTTGCCCTGTAATGAGCCAAACCTTACATGGATCTAGAGAATCCCTTGAATAATGTTGATTTGCTTGTTAATGGTTTATAAATTAAATTTAAAACTAATAATTGTCATAAAATATATGTTATGATCATATATTTTATGAATTTATTTAACTTAACCCTTAAAACACATGACAAGATACTGGTTTAGGCAGTGGTAATTTCATTATTAGTACTTTAACAGTTCAAAAATGAAATCAACAATGGATAAATGGGATTACATGAAATTAAAAGCTTCTGCACAGCAAAGGAAATAACAGAAAGAAGAGACAGCCTACAGAATTGGAGAAAATATCTGCTAGATATTTGACAGAAAGTAATATCCAGAAAACATTAAAAAACTATACAATGCAAACATTGAAAGGACAGGTCAGTCCATTCAGTAAATGGGCATGTGATCTGAAGAGACACGTCTCAATAAATATATGGGGAAAAGGTTTGACATCTTTAGCCATCAGGGAAATGCAAATCAAGATTCTATTGAGATTCTATCTCATCTCAGTCAGAATAGTTATTATATTTTTTAAATTCTAGCAAGGATTGGGGGGAATTCTTATACATTGCTGGTGGGAATGCAAATTAGTCCAACCTCTATGGAAATCAGTATGGAGGTTTTTTTTAAAAAAATAAAAACTAACAATAGATCTACCATACATCCCAGCAAGGCCACTACTTTGTATATATAGCTAAAGAAAATTAATTTAGACTACAATAGAGATACTTGCATACACATATTCATTGTGGTACTATTCACAATAGCCAAAACAGAAGATCAGCCTAGATGTCTATCAATAGATGAATGGAAAAAAAACATATGTGTATGTGTGTGTTTGTACATATACATATATACATATAGTTTTATTTAAGCATAAAGAATAATTAAACACTCATATCATGAGCAAGAAATTTGGGTTGAACTAGAATTTAGGTAGAATTAACCAGACACAGAAAGTATTATTTTTTTTCTCACATATAAAAACAAGCAAACAAAGAAGGATGGCCTGAAAATAGAGGACTGACATTTAGGGAAGGTGGCTGGGGGAGAAAAGAGAGGAGGACACAAGAAAATAGCAGGGAGCATTCATAAGAACAAAGCACAATATGAGCACGTATGAAAGGAAATGTACAGTGCAATGAATGAATTTGCACAATTAAGGTCATTGACTAATTATAATAAAAGAGCTTTCATAGAAACTAAATTGTTTATATGACTACATTAATTTGCCCCCAGCTGAACATATCAACTAACAAAAAGATAAGCTGTCTGGAACAAAATAAACTTTTTCCTTAAATTTCTTCTTATAGTATATGTATTTACAGCAATAACAACAACAAAAATTAACACAGTCATTCCAAGTGTGAAAACCCAGAAAGCCAAATTCGTAGATGGTGCAAAAGAAGTTGTTAGTAACTGCCATAAGACCTTGTTTTTTTGTTTTTTTTTAAACAAGGAACATTTAATATATTGTGTATTTTTAGATGTCTTCATGGTAGCACCATAACATTTATCATGGGATTTAGCAAAATCATATTTAAAAATCTTCATGATAATATCCAAAATTGCAAATACAGATTGGCTGCACAATTAAATGAGCACTGGTTTGTTAACTTTAAAGGTATTGCTTATGATAATTCCAAAATATATCCAACTTGCCAGTAACGAAATGCTAGTAACATTGTGGAAGTTGGATGTGGACAGTTTCCAACAAGTCTTTTGCTCTGAAAACTTCCAAATAGACTTTACCCAGTTTACCCAAATACCTTCCACAAAGGCATTTTTGTTATTATTTGTTTAGTGTGTAAACAAAACTCCTTCAATTAAGTAGTGTCGGTAGAGACTGGTTAGCTGCTTAGAATTTCAGTACTGTGGAGAAATTGCAATGTTGCAGGTTAAAGGCTATTACTTTATCTTGGGCTAAGTTTTAGCTCTCTGGAACAGGCTATTACCTTATCTTGGGCTAAGTTTTAGCTCTCTGGAATAGCCCACCCATGTGTAGGAATCAATATCTTGTGACTAATAGACATAAACCTTTTGGGATCTATTAACTCAGCAGACTACTAGCTTCTGCCAACCCCAAACCTAAGAATGCCATCAGATAGCCTCTTAGGCCTGTAGAAAAGCTTCCTCCATCTTGATGTAACTGCTTCTCTGATGTATCCATCAATGCATTTTTTTTTTTTTTTTTGGTTTTTCGAGACAGGGTTTCTCTATGTAGCTTTGCGCCTTTCCTGGAACTCACTTGGTAGCCCAGGCTGGCCTCGAACTCACAGAGATCCGCCTGGCTCTGCCTCCCGAGGGCTGGGATTAAAGGCGTGCGCCACCACTGCCCGGCCATCAATGCATTTTAAACTTGCCTTGATTTATTATTTTCTTTGTGTTGTAAAATTATAAAACTTCAGGAAACTGCTTCCACATAGGAACATGGAATTTGGGGGTAGCCTAAGTCTGTGTTCCCAGGCCGTGGTCACTCAAAATGACTCCAGAATGAACTGTCTTTGATTCCCTTTAAGATGAGAACATCAATAATTAAGATGTTTGCATCAATAATGTCAAGGTGGACTGAAGCTTCTCCTACTAGAACCCTACCCATAGTGAGGATATAAAAGTACTTAATTTCACTCATCTGATTTGCAGAATCCCTATTTCTTTTTATACAGTAACAGAGACACTTACATTATCAGAATTTTAATTAGTACACTGTAAATTTTTTCCTTTTGTTAAGAAACTTCACTGCATTTTTTATCCGTAGCCTTCAGGAAAAGTAGAGAGAACTACTGGAATTCTAAACTAAAACTATCCTTAGAAACCTTCAATCTTTGAAAGCCCCAAATACTTCTATTAGTTTTATGAAAATGAGATAAAGCTCCATGGGACCACAGGTTAGCTCTTATGGATTAATAATATTGTTTCATGCACTAAGGAATTTCAAGGTCTGAGATTTGACCAAATTACAGTTTATTCATTAAATACTCATACAGTGCTTTGAGGTTTAACACTGTGAGGTATGGGGAACATTTACAAAGCACTTAGCAAAATGCATCCTACATAATCTACAATCTGCAAATTTGTTCTCAATTAGATATCAGAGAAAAGTTGGATTTAAGACTAAGTGAAACTACCCCATCAGGAACTGTTAACAAATGCCTAACAATAATACCCAAAAGTTTTGATACTTTTTTTCTCCTCTTAGCTTAAAGATTTCCTCTTGACTCCTGGGATATTAACTTCAAATGACTTTAAATTGAGGGTTCTTGTAAGTCTTTCAGAAGCCTTTTCTTACACAAGTAACATTTTCCAAAAAATGGGATAACCTTCTGCCATCAAAAATGAACAGCCTCCACGTGAGACAATGTAATAAGATTAATTCAACACTCTTTGGATTATTTGCTTTGGTACTAACATTACTCTGATTCATCTTCACACTGTTATTTTATCCCATATAGTCTCCTGTCACTTAAGGAAAAGCAACATTTTCCTGTAAGGTCTTTCTAAAGTATTGCCACTCTAAATTTAACCAACTTCTATATATGCCATCCTTCACCTGATTCTGCTGAGTTACAGAACTAGTGATGGCCATGCAGATACATTTTGATGTACCTGTAGTCTACAGAAAGGACATGAGCCATGATACCTAGCTTTCTAAGTATAGCCAGCTTGCTTTATTGATTGGATTTTATAAGTCCTGAATTTCTAGTTTAAGGACTAAGAGCTAATTTCTAAAAATGTCTGTGTTGCAGTTGATGCATGGATTTTGTCCAGACACTGAGATACTACTGCTTAGCTCATCTCACATCAGAGAACTCAACTTACCTTGAAATAAATGGATCAAGGGAGACTAACCATAATCTATCTCAAACTACACTCTCTAATCTCTGAGTGTCAAAATTTCATAATTACCTAGGAGACAAGCCTTTGGGCATGTCTGTGAGGGAATTTCTGGATTTGGTTCATTGGAGTATATAGACATGCCCTGACTGTAGATGGCACCATCCTGTGGACTGAGGTCCTGAGATTAATCAAAAGAAAAAGGTGCACAGTCATCTGTCTCTATTTCCTGACTGTGGATGTAATGTGAACAGCTGCCCAAGTGCCTGCAACCAGGATTTCCTTGCCATGATGGACTGTACCCTCAAACCGTGAGCCAAAAATAAAACCCTCTTTCCTTAAGTTGCTTTTGTTGGGTATTTCATCAGAGCAATGAGGAAAAAAACTAGCACATCCATATGTTGTGGATTTATTTCCTATAACTTGATGCTTTCTGCTTTTGAATGAAACAGGGTATTGTAAAAGAGTTCCTGGTATCCAATTGGTACTGTTATTGGTTATCAGATAAACCTTGATGTTCTCCTGTTTGCATGAATAATTTCACAGATTATCAGCTTCATATTAGAACAATCTGTTACAAGGTCTGAGCAAGATAAAAACATGGTGACTTCTTAATCAGAACGTAACAGAAAACAAAACAAAACACAACATCCCCAAACATGGATTTGTTTAAGTCACAATGATTAACAAACATCCCTAGCTATATGAATGCCTGCCATTACTTTGCCAGTTGGATTCTTTTATTATTTTTTTATTAAGAAATTTTTTATTCATTTTACATATCAATCACAGATTTGCCTCTTTCCTCCTCTTGCCCCTCCAGCCTCTCCCCACCCCCACCCCCATTCTCTCCTATAAAAAGGTAAGGCCTCCCATGGGGAATCAGCAGAGCTTGGTACATTCAGTTGAGGCAGGTCCAAGCCCCTCCCCTTGCATCAAGGCTGTGTGAGATGTCCCACCATAGGTAATGGAATCCAAAATGCCAGCTCATTCATCAGGGATGGATCCTGATCCTACTGCCAAGGGGCCCATTAAGCAGATCAAGCTACACAGCCAGTTGTATTCTTAGCCATGTTCTAGTCTTTACTCCTTCTAGATAAGACTTATTGTGACTCTGAAACAGAATTGTCCCCACTTTCTGATAGGATCCAATCTATAATGAATGCTCACTTCCTTTAGATTCTCCACCAAATTATACAAATGAAACCCAAATAATACAATAAGCCCTAATCATGTCATCTTACTTAGACGATATGTACCCAAATTCAACAGGTCCAACTAAAAGTATGCTCTTATTGGTTTATGGCTGGATGACATTTAAAATCAAAAGCATTATTGAAAACTATTACAAAAATCAAAATAGAGTAACATTCCATATTAACAGGCTGGAAGACAGCATTTTTAAGATGGTCTCTTCAAATTGAATAATCATAATTAAAATTACAAAAATTTTCTTCATAAAATATTGAGAATATAATTCTAAAATGCAATGGAGCATGAATGGCCAAGACAGTCTAAAATGAATATAGCTAGACAGCTAACATTGCAATATGTTAATACTTACTATAAAAATAAAACATGAGCACATGATATTTTTACAGAATAAAAACCTAACCAGTGCAAGAACACTGAAAATATAGACACAGGCCCACACACTTTCATCACTTGATTTATGTCTAATAGGACCCTACAATGGGATTATGAAAGGATATTTTTTTGAGGAATATGGTCTTATATCAGTTTTAAAGATGGGTATGGTATCTTACTATTTGCTTTGTGGCAAAAATAAATAATTATTGAATTCTCATCTCACAGCATACTAAAAAATGTTTCAGATGATATTTATTTATTTATTTATTTAAAATTTATTATTCTTAAAAATCTCTCTCTCTCTCTCTCTCTCTCTCTCTCTCTCTCTCTCTCTCTCTCTCTGTTGGTAGGTATGTACACACATTTGTGCTGTGTGCATAGAGGCAGAACAGAGCATCATATCTTCTGAAGCTGGAGTAAAAGGTAGTTGTGAGCTGCCTTAAGTGGCTGCTGGGAACTAAACTTGGGTCCTCTGAAAGCATGAAACACTCTTAAACCTTGAGCTGTCATTTCCCACTCCAGAGTTCCAGATGAGTTTTAGATCTCTAAATGAAGGATAAATCAAATCTTTTTTGAAGAAAGCATATAAACATTTCAGGTGGTCTTGGTAGCAAAATTTCTTAAACATGCCCCCTAAAGCTTTGACCATAATGACAATTAATAAATTGGACTATATAATGACTAAGAATTTTTGTTCATTTAAAGCAGTTGTTCTCAACATGTGGGTTGCGACCCATTTGGGGGTTGAACAACTCTTTCACAAGGGTCACCTAAGACCGTTGGAAAACACAGATATTTACATTGCAATTCATAACATAACATAGCAAAATTAGAGTTGTGAAGTGGCAATGAAAATAATTGTATGCTGGAGTCCACCACAACATGAGGAATTGTATTGAAAGGTCACAGCATTAGGAAGGTTGAGAACCACTGATTCAAACAGAACATTGAGATAGTAAAAAGGAAACCTGTATATGAGAGGGAGACTTGTAATATACATTGTATCAGTTAATTTTCTTTTACTGTGATAAAATATAATGACCCAAAACAACTTACAGATGAAAGTGTTTATTTTGGCTTATGGTTCCAGAGGGATAAGAGTTCATCATAGAGGTGACATCATAACAAGAAGCAAGGATGGCAGCAGAAGGAAGCTGAGAGATCCTATTTTTGTTCACATACAGAAAGCAGAGAGAGGGAACTGTAAGTGGGGGTGAACCTAGAAACTCTCAAAGCTCACTCACAGTGATGTATTTTTCCAGCCAATCTATACCTCCTACAGGGTCTATAACCTCCACATACAGCGCTACCAACTGGAGATCAAGTATTCAAATACACAAGCCTTTGGGGAACATTTGTCATTAAAACCACCACAATTATAGACAAAAGTGTTGTCAGATATTTGCACACTGTGTGAAGGTATATTGCTGTAATTGGTGTAATGTAGCCAGAAGTTTTCCTGTGTCCTGCCTAGCCCACAGTAAGGACAAATCTCTCCTACCTGCCAGTCCTGCAGCCACCCAAAGGGGGATATATGTTCCCCCAAGTAAGCACATAGAGGCTTATATTAATTATAACTGCTTGGCCATTGGCTCAGGCTTATTACTGGCTAGCTCTTATGCTTAAATTAACCCATGATTCTTTTCTATGTTTAGCCACATGGCTTGGTACCTTTTCTCAGTTCTGCCTTGTCATCTTGCTCCCTCTGTGTCTGGCTGGTGATTCCTGACTTAGCCTTCCTCCTCCCCAGAATTCTTGTCTGCTTGCCCCACCTATACTTCCTGTCTGGCTACCAACCAATCAGCATTTTATTTATCAACCAATCAGAGCAACACATATTCACAGTGTACAGAAAGATGTGCCACAGCACTTCAAGAAGAAGACAAACTCCATATGGAGTGTCTTCGATGCCTATCTTTCTCTTTGAAGTAAATCAGTGCTGCCAGGAGCAGACGTGTCTCACTGTCCAGAAAGTCTAAGTTTTTAGAACATTTTAAATGCCATATTCTGTAGGTCTTTGAAGTGTTGGAACATTACCTACCTAACTGAATTATATCTATGTATACCTAGAAAACTTAACATGACTACAAGTTTGATTATCATAGATCATTAACTATTAATCTGTATTTCTCAATTATACACTATAATTTCAAATGAGCTGCACAAACAAAATACTTGAAACAAGAGTAGAAATATACATACAGTATAGCAAAATTAACTTTAAATTTGTATCAATAAACTAAAATCCATAGCAATGTAAAACATTTCAAACAAATTGTTGCTCTTTAAAAGTAAATTCAATAATCTAATCTTTTATCCTATCATATCTATATCCTATATATCTATATCATGTCCCCCTTTCTTCTTTTAGAAAGACATTGACTATGACCAATAACAACAATTTGTAACTGAAAACCTAAACAAAGACAAACATCTATAATCCATTTTTGGGGGGATGTGGGTGTAGTTTTCTAGGCTACTTCCTACTGATAGGGGGCACTGGTAGGCTTATGGGGATCCTGAGAAAATTTGAGATAATGGTCAAGTCCTGGGAAGACCGGCTATAACCTTTGTTGATGAGTATCATCTGTTAAGATTCAGGAGGTCTGGCTTGATCAAATCTGATCCATCTTAACTGGGAACAAATCCATAGCCTCTTGCTTCCTGTGGAAACAAAAGCAGAGCCTCCTTTCAAAAGCAACATATCCTTAGATCCAAATTTTGAAGTCAAGATACCTTTAAAATACATATATTGGTTTAACGGAGCAGCCTTTATAATCAAATGTCTCTCTCCAGTTAAAAATACCAAAGACAATACAATCTAGATTTTCTGTGTGATTTCCATCTTTACATGGCTTATTTTTTATATTACTTTTACTTTCTCTTTAAAGACTTCATTTTTAAATTTTTTCTATTTCTTTATATAACTGTCTACATTCCTTTTCCTCTCTCTTTCAAGCCTATGTACATTTTTACACACTTTGTAAACCGTTTAGAGGTTTATTTCATCTGAATTTGTTTTATTGTGGATCTATTGCTTTAAACTGCAGCATGACTAGAACTGAAATGGCAGCTTTGTCTGCTGGCTCCACCCACCTCAGCTTCCCAACATCACAGCAGAACTATGTTTACTGCCAGCTCTGGGAACTATGCTCACCACTGACTCTGTGAAGCAGTGGGTCTATGCTTCCATACAGCAGCATGTAGCCCAAAAACCTTTTCTTTATTTTTTTTATTTTTAAACTATGGCCATAGCAGGCTTCTAGTTAGCTAGCTCTTATATCTTAAATTAACCCATTTCTATAAATCTGTACCTTGCCATGTGGCTCATGGCTTACCGGTATCTTTACATCTTCTTTCTCATGGTGGTGGCTGATAGTGACTCCTCTGTTCTGCCTTTCTCCTTCCTCCTCTCTAGTTAGAATGTCCCACCTAACCCTATTCTGCCTAACCATTGGCCAAACAGCTTTATTTATCAACCAATCAGAGCAACATATATTCACAGCATACAGAACAACATCACCCATCAGTGTAACAAAAAGCTGGATGGCAAAGAGCTAGGTAGGAGGTATAGGCAGGTTTCCAGGGAGAGAAAGGAAGATGAGGAGGAATCTAGACATATGGGAGATGCCAGGAGACATGGAGAGGAAACAGGAGGTGCAAGATTAAAGAGAGGTAACACCACATGATAGAATGTAGATTAATAGAAATGGGAACAAGCCTAAGCTATAGGCCAAGCTTTTAGAATTAATAAGAAGTCTCTGTGTCACTATTTGGGAAGTGGCTGGTGGGGCAGAAAAAGACTCATTACACAAAATACTTGTACTTATAAAATATATGAACTGTATAAGTGTATCAGTTAATTTTCTCACTGTTGCCACAAAATACTTGACATAAACAACTTAAGGAATAAAGGATTCATTTTTGGCTTATGATTTGGAAGAGTACAGTCCATCATGGCAGTGAAGGTGTGCCAGAGATCACAGTAACAGGAGCAAGTAGCATATTTTGTTCCTATATCTGTAGAGCAAGAAACAGAGTGAGGACTAGAATTGGGATTTGCCTATATCCTTGAAAGCCAGTCCCTATGGCCTTATGTCTGATAGCATAAGTCTAAAGCCTCCCAAGACAGCACCACTGGCTGGGAAACCAGTGTTTAAACACAAGGGTTGTTTTACATTCAAATCACTACAAATCAACAAGAAATAACATTCTAGTAGAAAAAAAATAGCAAAACACTTGAATAGGTATTCTCTACAAAAGAAGTATCCCAATTCTCAAACTCACAGAGATCCACCTGACCCTCCCAAGTGCTGGGATTAAAGGCATGCACCACCACCGCCTGGCCCCAATATTTTGATAAACACATGAAAAAGAGCCCAATTTCATTTGTCATCAGAATAAAGTAAACCAGAATACAATATTATACCATAATTCCAGTCACCAAAGTAGTTATAATGGTAAAAAAGAAAACACCGTGTCAAGATGTTGAGAAACCATAGTTTCTTTTAAAAAAAATTTTATTCATTTTGCATACCAACCACAGTTCCCCTTCCCTCCCTTCCTCCCGTTCCACCACATCTCCCCCCATCTTAATGCCCATCCACTTCCCAGAAAGGGTAAGGACTCCCATGGGAAGTCAGTGAAGCCTGGCACATCAAGTTGAGGCAGGACCAAGCCCCTCCCTACCTGCATCAAGCCTATGCAAGGTGTCCCACCATAGAGAATGGGCTCCAAAATGCCAGCTCATGTGCCAGGGCTAGATCCTGGTCCCACTGCTAGGGGCCCCTCAACCAGACCAAGCTACACAACTGTCTCCCACATGCAAAGGGCATAGTTCCCTCCCATGTGGGCTTCACAGCTGTCAGTCCAGAGTCCCTGAGGTCTCACCATCCTGGGTCAGCTGTCTCTGTGGGTTTCCCCATCATGATCTTAAGCCCCTCCTCCCTTTCTCATGTAATCTCTCTTCCCTCTCTTCTACTGGACTTCAGGAGCTCAGCCCAGCGCTTAGCTGTGGATCTCTGCATCTATGAGAAATTATATGGTCTTAGTTAGGGTTTCTATTTCTATGAAGAGACACCATGACCATGGTAACTCTTTTTTCTTAAGATTTTAGGGACACTTGGCTCAGCCTGGGAGGAGGGGACTGGACCTGCCTGGACTGAATCTACCAGGTTGAACTCAATCCCCAGGGGAGTCTTTGCCAAATGCTTGGTCCTGAACCTTCTACTTTGCTATTGTAATAGCATGCACATATAAAAACAAGGACTTGGAAAATGTCATGGGTGGGTGCCAGAATGAGTGGCCTCTTAAGGAGTTTCAGAGCCCTGGATCACTGAATGTTAAACAACAATCATTACCATCAAGAACTTGGAAGGATTTCAGTTGTGGCTGCAGATATCAATCTGACATTTTTTTCTTCCTTCACTGAATTCCTGGATTAGGGCTACGCTTTAGCCCAACTACTGTGGCAGAAAATAGAGCAACTGACCCTTATTCCTAGCAGAGTGTTTAGACCACACATCCTCAAATACAAATGTACAAACCCCTGAATGATGAACAGAACCTAATGTGCTGTGCAGCCATAAACAGTTTCCGACATATAGGAGGAAATTTAGTCCTTCCTGTTTGGCCAACTCTGTCCTTGCCTCCCAGCCATGCTAGCACGTTCTGGCTCTAGCCAACCTGGATAACTGGCAGTTATGCAAACTTGTCTTTTACCCTTACACTTCGGGGCCTTTCCTGTTGATGTTCCCTTGTAAACCATGAACTCTTCCCATCCTTTTCATCACTTAGACCTCAGCTCCTCCTCCAATCCAAGATACTTCAGACAAAACTGCCATTCACTACTCCTGTGTTTGTACTGTGTGTAAATTGACTCATGCTGATTTCCATCAGTTTGATCTGAGCCATTTTTATGAACTAGAGCTAAGAACTCCTTGAAAGGCAGATGGTGTGAAAGAAAGTGCCTATGTTCTGGACTCTGATAAAAGGATTCAAAGCCTGCTCTCTTTCACTGGAAGTGGCCCGAGTCTGTACAAACTCACCTCCCTGAGCTGGTCTTCTCACTTTTAGGATGAATGTTATTCAGACTAGCTAAGATTAAGTGATTTTAATATGAGAAAACTAAAACACCGAAAACAATGCCTGTCACCTACTAAGTGTTCCATAAAGGGTTGGCCCTCATTACCATGGATTGAACCAACCCTACTGCAAGCTCCATATGGAAGGGAATATTCAGTTTGTCCTCAAGGCAATCGCTAATGCACCGCACAAATACCCAGCACTGTGTCTGGCATGGGCATATGTTCAAGAAATAATCTGTTGAGTTGGTGGAGGCCTTAATGACTCCACAATTATCATGAACACACCCCTATCCTCTATTAAGCCTTGCCAATGTTCTTAGTACCTCACAGAAAAACTAGAAAAACTTCAGATGCAGCATCACTGAACACCCCATCCCTTAATGCTTCTGCTTCATCTCCGTTGTTTCTTTTTGAGAGTTCTCTTCTCCAAGAGAAGTTCGAACCCCCATGGGCCAAACTGACCGGTCAGAGGTGGGAGGAGGCGGGAGTGGAAGCCTGAGCGGGGCGTGGTCACCACGTCGCAGAGGCTGACTGCGCCTGCGTAGGCTGCGGCAAAGCTAACTGCTCTTGGGCTTTAGCTCATTGCTTGCTACTGCCTGTGTAAAAAGATCGCCTTTCTTACCCGCTCTCACTTTTGATCCGCACAGCTTCCGGGTATCAGCCTTCGGCTCTGTGCCGAGGCGCCAACACACCTCCGATCCTCTCTCCGAGGGATCGCTGACCTCCGCGTTCGCGTTCCTGTCTCCTGGAACCATGTCTCTGGTAAGCCAGAATGCGCGCCACGGCAGCGCAGAGACCACTGCAGATTACAGCGAGAGCCGGGGTGAAATGCAGGCTACTAATGCCTCCGGGCCCCCCACCTCCATGCTGGTCCCTGAGGCTGCCCAGGGCCCTCAGATTCCAATCGACCCACAGGGTGCCAGCGCTCCCCAGGCTGTGCAGGACCCGAATGACATCGAGGTTCTCATCGACGAGCAGTCCCGACGTTTGGGGGCGCTCAGGGTCCACGACCCTCTAGAAGATAGGTCGGTTGCTTTGGTGAATTTCATGCGCATGAAAAGCCAAAGTGAGGGGTCTATCCGGCAGTCAGATATGCTGGAGTTTCTCAGAGAATACTCAGACCAGTTCCCTGAGATACTCAGACGAGCCTCAGCTCACCTGGATCGGGTCTTTGGGTTGAATCTGAGAGTTCTTGATCCTCAGACTGACACTTACAACCTAATCAGCAAACCAGGTCCCCAGACCACTGAACGGCTAGCAGAGACCCTGGACATGCCAAAAGCAGGTCTCCTGGCCTTGGTCCTAGGGCACATCCTCTTGAATGGCAACCGGGCAAGAGAGGCCTCAATTTGGGATCTGCTGTTAAAGGCTGATGTGATGGATGAGCCTCAGAGGATCAACAACCTCTTTGGGAACACAAGAAACCTCCTCACTACTGACTTTGTCCGTATGCGATTTTTGGAGTACTGGCCAGTATATGGCACTAATCCCCTTGAATTTGAGTTCTTGTGGGGCTCTAGAGCCCACAGGGAAATCACAAAGATGGAGGCCCTGAAGTTTGTAGCAGAGGCCCATGATGAAGAACCTTGGAGCTGGCCAGAAGAATATAGCAAGGCCCTGGAAGCTGACAAAGCCAAAGAGAGAAGCCAGGCTGCTGGCTTAGAGTTCTGGTCAGAGGACGCTATGAATGATAAAGCAAATGATTTGGTCCAGTTGGCCATTAATGTCACTGAGGAGTTGCTGCCTATACATCAGGATGAGCTATTGGCTCATACTGGTAAAGAATTCGAGGATGTGTTCCCAAATATCCTCAGCCGAGCCACACTAATCCTTGACCTGTTTTATGGGTTCTCTCTGATTGAGGTTGATACCAGTGAGCACATCTACCTCCTTGTTCAGCAACCAGAATCAGAAGAAGAGCAAGTAATGCTAGAGAGCCTGGGCAGACCCACCCAAGAATATGTGATGCCAATTCTGGGTTTGATCTTCCTGATGGGCAACCGTGTCAAGGAGGCCAACGTCTGGAACTTACTCCGGAGATTTAGTGTGGATGTAGGGAAGAAGCACGCCATCACCTGTAAGCTTATGAGACAACGTTACCTGGAATGCAGGCCACTCTCCTACTCTAATCCAGTTGAATATGAGCTGCTTTGGGGTCCTCGGGCTCACCTTGAAATCACCAAAATGAAAGCCTTGGAATACATGGCCAGGCTCTACAGAAAGCGGCCACAGGACTGGCCAGAGCAATACAGGGAGGCTGTGGAAGATGAAGAGACCAGGGCCAGATCCGAGGCAACTGCCATGTTCTTCTTTGGCTCCATGTGAAGTCTGATGTTTCACTTTAGTTGAGTGGCATCAGTTAAAGGGGCCTTTGGGAAAGGGGCAATAGTGTCCTAAATCAGAAGTTGGGAGGGTTGGGGTAAAGAGTACACCTTGTGCTTACTGTGTTCCAATTCTAATAATATTTCTTTCCTTCTAATATACTCTAATTGTCTTCATGATCAGTGTTTATAAATGAAATTGCTTGTTTTCTCTTCCTGTCTTGTTTCAGTATAAATGTTCGGATAACTGTGTGAAACATATTGGTAATATTTATGTATTTGAAATAACCAGTAAAATAAGCTAAATAACAGTAACAGTACACACACGTACACAAACACACCCCAAACACAAAGCCCCTCATTCGTGGTTGCCCTCCTTTTGAGTCTATTGCTGTGTTAACAAACAAACTAACAAAAATAAAAGACTGCCACTTACCTGTATTTAATTTGCTGTTGCAGAGTGTAGTAAAAAATAAAAGTATAATGAATTATGCTATGCTTATGTCCTCATTTATTCTATAAACATTTATCAGGTACCTGTGTGCTGAGAACAAGGCCATGTGCTGGGGATATAAGGGTAAAGAAGCCCCATCTGGGCTTCAGAACTTCCCCCTAAAAGAGGAACGTCATGGAAGTGAACCAGCAATTCTATTGTGCTGTGGCAAGTGGTATAAGAAAACGGAGTGGGCTGCTGTGTACTATGGGAGTCCACAAGTGTAACTCCCAACTGCATGACGAGAGGGCAGTGAAAAAGGCAGTGTGGTACAGGGCAGGCTGGGGAAAGGTCAGGAGTATGAAGCAGGAGGTGGGTGAGGGGATAGTCCAGGGAGGTGGTGGGAAGGACAAGGTGAAATGAAAGGCTGGAGATACGATATGTTGTTGTGGGTAGTGGGATTGGGGAGTGATACCTGAGACTGGGCTGAGGGACAAAAGGAGGAATTGGCGAAGGTATAGGCTGTAGGTAAAATACCCCCCCCCCGGGGGGGGAGGTTGAAAGTCACCCAGAAAGACATGGTTGAGTTCAGAAGGGGAGCGGGAGAGAGAAATCTGTGGCAGGGGGTAACAAAGGCCCTATCTCCTGGGGGTGCCTCTTAGGAAACAGTAATAGCCTTCTCAAATACAGCTGGTCTTGGATCTTGAGTCAAATTTAATCCACACTGTATACCCCACGTTAGCACTGTTTGTTTCAACACTCAAGCTGTTAAGGTAAAGTTAGCATTTTAGATCTCTTCGTCCCGATTCCTCTGACAGTTTCTAACCCTGCTCACAAGCTTTCCCTAGAAAGCTTGCAGGTAACAGTTTCTGAGAGGCATCCCTGGCAAGGGGGTGAGTATCATGCAGAAAACGTCCTCTGACTACGGAAAGACAGTGATGCCTTCCAGTACTGCATGCTGTATGCGTCCTCATCTCCTGGCATGCTCAAGCTTTCTCCCCTTTGCATCCTTTTAATTATCAGAGGTTTCCCCGAACTGCCACCTCCTAGCAGATGGTAAAGAGTAAGCGACATTTCTCACATTTTTCTTAGCCCCAGAAAGAAAATAGCACAATTTCCAACTCAGGAATTGGACAATGGGAGGAGAGATACACCCTTTTGGCCCCCAAGTCTGACCTGCGGCGGTGCAGGAACCTAATTAAGAGCAGTCTGCCTGAGAAAAAGACTGCGCAGGCGCACTCGGCGGTTGCCAGGGCGAT